CAAGGGTGGGGCGAGGGGGGGGACAAAGGTGCACAGACGCAGGAGGGTGGGAACCAGGAGTGAGCACATGGCCCAGCGGCCCCACGACCCTGAGGCGGGATTCAGGGCGGGAGTCAGGGCGGGCTCCGAAACCACACCAGGTGGCAATCTCTGTAAGGGGAGCAGGCCTCCAGGTGGCCGGCCTCTGCTCCCCTCGCCCCTGCGGAAGGGACGGGGTCCCAGGTGTGCGGGAAGCAGGAACGGCGTGGGGGCGGTGGCGAGGCCCTCTGCCTCTTGCTCCCCACCTGCTGTGGCACCGTGTCAGCCCGTGTGCCCCCCTGTGACCTCCAGACAGACCTCTGCAGGCCCCGGGGACAGGCCTCAACTGGTGGCACTCGGGACTCGGGAACCAACAGCCCAGGACGACCAGCTCGTTAAGCAACGCGCTAAGCGACGCGACAGAAAGCAAAGCAAACTGTAAACTAAGGAAAAAAGGAAGCCCAGAGAAAACAGCCATCTCTGGAAAAAGGAGAACTTTTTAAATTTATCCCCAAAAAGGAGAATAAACAGAACAGAATGAATTATCAAATTCATAATCCAGGAAAAATTAAGAGGACAGGAAAGATCTTTTCCAAACGAAGACAAGTGAAATGAAAAGCTCCGTTACAAGGTCGGCATATAAAGCTAAGGAACTCTCTCTTAAATTATAAACACGAGAAAAGAAGATAATTTTTAAAAAATAGAGAAAGAATTCAAGAGGCTTTCTATGGAGCTAACAGATCTCTGAGAAGGTCGGAGAAGAGAGGAAACGGGAGAAAGGGAATCGCCCAGGAAAGAGCAGGACGCACACCGCAGGGGGCGGTCCCCGCGTCTGCAGGGGCCTCGGCTCAGAGCTGCACTTGCTGAGTTTCCAGAAGGTGTCATGGAGGAGCCAGAGCAACCGTGGGGGGTGGGCACCATGGCAGAGAGACTCCCCAGAGCAGCAGAGCCAGGACCAGAGACCCTCCCTCCGGGGTGACCCTCCCGCTGGGGTGACCCTCCATCCGGGGTGACCCTCCTGCCGGGGTGACCCTCCCTCCGGGGTGACCCTCTCTCCGGGATGACCCTCCCACTGGGGTGACCCTCCCGCCGGGGCGGCCAGCCTCCTGCTGCCTCCCCGCACGCCCAGCGCGGGTGGTCTGGAAACCGTAGAGCCGGGAAGCCCAGTGGGCAGCTGAGCTGCAGGGGCACCGCTGCCCATCCCCACACAATGCCCGGTGCACGTGAGTCAGCAAAAGCGGGTGTGGGGGGCAGGAGCTGTGATCCTTGACCGTCCACACTGCAGGCCCCATTACCAAGTGTACCTCATCTCCCAAGGGTGAGGGTCACACGGTAAGGAGGCGAGAGCAGCACGGTGAAGCGACGAATAGTAAATAAGCATCCAGGTAGTAAAGCCGGGCTTGACAGAGGCCGGCTGCATCCGGGGTGTCCCTCCGAGCTGAGTTCTGAGCCCCAGATGCCACCTTGTGCGGGTCCCTGCGACCTCTGTCCCTAACGCTCCACCCCAGCCTCTCTCCGGGCGGCGAACAGCCTCTGGGCAGCGCACCCCAACCTGCTCACAAGGCTCCTATTCTCCTTCTCTCCTTCTCCCTCGACCTGCCCCCCACCCCCCCATCTTCGCAACCGCACCTCCCAGAGCCTTTCCCTTAATTTAGTCACTTTCAGCTGTAAGATTCCCCTGAAGGACGTTCCTTGCGGGCCGATGTCCTGACCGAATGCCCCCCCTCCCTCTGCAGCATTTGCCTGGACCCCCCTGGACTTCTGGGTGCCGCCCCCTGTGCCGGGGTGGGGGGGAACCAGTTAACTGTTTGATGCCCACAGTGACCAGAACTAAGATTCTGTGACTTTCCAGATCTCCACTCAGAGAGAGGGGTTTCCGTGACGGCCCACTGGGCCCCCCTGGGTGCAGCACCAAGGCCCCCAGGTCCGCTCCCTGCAGGGGACAGTTGTGGGACGTTTCCCTGAGGCCTGCAGCTGCCAGGGAAGCCACCACGCCACAAAGTGAGGCCAGCGTGAGTCACTGCCAGACACACGACCCACCCTGCACCCAGGCCAGTGCCTCGGGACACTTCCAAATTGGACCCACAAGACCACGCGGGCCCCTGCGCAGGTGGGCGGGCCTGTCTGTGCCCCTGTCCACTTTCCCAGCCCGAGGGCACCCGGCTCCTGGAAGGATGTGGTCGTCTGCCCTCCGAGCTGGCCCTCTGTTAACTGAAAACCACGAGAAGCATCAAAAGATGGAATCAGTGTGGGGCCAGCAGCCCCTCGACTAGACCTTGGCTGGGGTCCTTCCGCCGCACATTCGGGTCTGGGAGCAGCATCGCCCCCGGAGATGCCAGTGAGTCTGCTCCGCCGACACTCCCCTGCGCTGCTCAGCGCCCACACGCTGCTGCGTGACTTCGTTCTGATGAGCCCGTCGTCAGGGCAGAAGTCGGGAGCGGAGATGCCCGGAGTGCACCACACTCGTGCCACAAGCTTAGGAGCGGCCAGAAGAACAGCCCTGATGAGTGCAGATGGCAGGGGACGCAGGGACGGCGGGGGACATGGGGACGGCAGAGGGGACGGCGGGGGACACGGGGACGGCGGTGGACACGGGGACGGCAGAGGGGACGGCGGGGGACACGGGGATGGCAGAGGGGACGGGAGTGGACACGGGGACGGTGGGGGACACGGGGACGGCAGAGGGGATGGCGGGGGACACGGGGATGGCAGAGGGGACGGCGGGGGACACGGGGACGGCAGAGGGGACGGAGGAGGC